TGGCTGCAGAGGGGCTGTGCAGCAGGGTCAGGGCGTAGGCACTCAGGGCAGTGGTGTAGGGATCTTCTGCTGAGTACAGGTTGGACTCCAGGAAGTGTTTTGCTTTGTCAACAGCTCTTCTTTCTTCCTGCATTCACAGGGGAAAGAGCCCAGACAGATGTACCAGCCTCTGTTAGAATTGCTTTATTACTCTTTTACCATTTAAAAAAAACCCAACCAAACGAAAACCCAACAACAAAATCCAAACAAAAAAACACACAATAAACTCAGAGAGATACATTTTGCTCTCTGCAGAATGGCACTGACTCTTTCCTTTCCCCAAGAAAAGCCATACATCAAAAATTAAAAAAAAAAAAGGTGCAAACAGCAGAGCAAGAGTGATTTAGGCTAACACTGAGACACACTTTTCTACCCCTAAAACTGAAGAAATTCTGTGCCCCTGCAAGGCTGCAGATGAACAGGCAGGGGTGAGCTCTGCACTGGAGGTTTGATTGTGTTCCTGACACTCTGGAGCGTCTGGCAGACGCCAGAGGATAATAAAGGCCAAGGTTCCCAGGGGTCCCTGCAGCCAACAAACATGTTTTATTAACTCCCCCAATGACCTCACCATGCTGGAACGTGGCTCTGATAATTTATAGAAACAATTTAATTGGACTTGATGTAATTTGGTTTCCTTTGATTTCCCTGTGGCACTAACCTTGCCCTTCCTCATTTCCTAGCTAAGATCATTAGGAGCACTCACAAATCTCCTCTAGGAAAACCATTAGAATGCACAGAAACTGCCCTGCTGGGGCTGCCTGGACACACAGCAGCCCAGAGAGAGCATCACATCACTGCTCAGAGGGGACACTGCTGACAGGCAGGCAGGAAGTTCCTCTGTGAGCTCTGCAGCTTTTCTGAATTTGTAACAAGGTTGAAAGCCTTCCACTCCAGCAAGGACAGGGGGTTAGGGGGCATCTGCCTGCACCATCAGCCTGCTCTCACTCCTCAGGCTGCACAGGATGAGGAGTGCTGAGGTTACCAGAGCTCCTGAACGGGCACTGGCTGTTCTGACACCTCCACAGACTCAGGGGGTTGTGCCTGAATGGACCCTTTTGTCTGAGAGCAGATCACAGGAGATGCTGCAACACCCACTAACCCTCCTCTTTCCACCTTCCAGCAGCTCTGCCTGGGCACAGACACCACTGCCCTCTCCCTTGGCTGGAGAGCAAGGCAACATCTGCAAGGGAGCATCTTCCCAGCCCAGGTTAGGGGGAATGTGTCACTAAAATCTTATAGAACACCTCCATTCTAGTGAAACTGCATGCTGGCAGAAACACAGAGGGCAGGAGCATTGTTTTACCAGGAGTTTTAAGGAGGAATCCCTAAAGCATCAGTTGTACTGAAGTTTGGGGTTTTTTTTTTCCAGTGGAATTGGCCATTCCTTCATAGCTGCTTCTCTTTTTAGCAGTGTTCCTGCTCTGTCTCATTGCAAAGAACAGAAACATTTTTCTCCAGAGCCCTCAGTCCAGCACATTGCAGGAGCTCAGCTCTCCAAAGGCACTGGAATCTAACAGCAGTAGCATTTTGGCCACTGCAGCCAAGCCAGACCACAAGAGCTCTCTGGATCCCCAAGTTAAACTGCTTTTAGCACCAAGCCAGGATTTCTGAGTCTGTACAGGCAAGAGACCAGGATCTGCACAGGCTGCACTCACAGCTTGAAGCTAAGAGGCAGAAAATGCTTTTTGCAGTAATTTCTTGGAGGGGTTGAGGGATGGAGCTGCAGGGAAGTGTTTTGCTCTGGTGGAATAATCATGAGCTGATGGCTGAAGGGTGGGAGACCACCTTGAATAACTTCAGAACAGATTCCTGAACTTCAGAACAATGCCAAGGTTTTCCAGCAGCCTCTCTTCCCTGGATGCTGTCAGTCATTCTAGAGAGCACAGAACCTCTGAAGGCAAACAGCAAAATGAAGTTTGAAAAAAAAAAGAATAAAGAGAAATTTTGGAGCTGTTTGAACTGAGCTTTTGTTACCTCAGAAGTGACACCAGTTTCCAGAAGAGATGCAACCACATAAGCTGTCAGGGAGATCTTCCCATGGATCCCACCCTGGAAGGGCAAACAGCACAAACCACTGGATCAGAACTGGTGAAAAGGACACTGGAGGAAAAAAAGAGACTTGGAAGCAATACAAAGGATGTGTTAGAGCTACAGGAGAAGTTGAAGCATCACCAAATTTCTTTTCTTTGCACACAAGGAGTACAAAATTTAAGAACCCAAGCTCACACTGGTTGGAGCCAGGACTCAGCTGTCCCTGGCCTGAGGACACATTTCATGCACTATTTCATTATTTTGCAATAATGCAGTATTTTGTAAGACTTCACACCTTGCTTTCCATCCTCTGGGGACACCCCACAGACACATTCTGATAAAACTTTTTAAGCTGAAATTTCCCTGGTTCTCCCTGCAGCACTCCAGCCTTTCATGTGCAAAATTCATATTCAGACTGATCATTCATGCTCTGATAATAACTTTAAAAATGTCCTTGCTGCAAGCTGATCCTGGGTGGTTTTTACCTGAATGTCCTTGTTTAGTATCCTGCCCATAGCAGGGAAGGAACCATCTTCTTTCTGGTGCTGGATGATCCAGTCTTTGGCAGCTGTGAGTTCTTTGGGGTCAATGAAAATAAACCCACGAGACTGAGCAAAGGACTTGAGGACAAAAGCTGTTAACCTGTAAAAATGAATTAATCATCTTCACTAAGATAAGTAATTCAGAATAAAGTAACTGTAAGGAAAGAATGGTATTCTTAGAAAGCACAAATTGAAATAAATCTTGTTGGGAAACACAAAAGATTGTTGTTAAAACTCTCATGGGATATAAAAGCACCCGAACACTGTCCAGGCTTTGGATAAGAAAAGGATCAAAGGTCAACAAATAAAAATGAAAAAGAGAACTCAAAGGTGTATTTGTCATAATTATGGCACACTCTGAAATATAGTTCCTTTTCATCCCAAATTATTACCGTTTTTAAGCTAAGAATCAATATTTTAAAATTAAGACTCAATATACTTCTCACAAGAAATCCAGATCCTTCCCTCAAGCCTGAAGCTGTGTTACACTTTATACAGAATTAAGACTTAAGAAAGCACCAGAAGTGATTTTGGAATTCTAAACCTCTGACAACAAGTGTGAGCACTGGCCAGCTTCGGGGGGGATTGAGTCATTGCATTTACAAGGCCCTGAGGGATGGGAGGGTAGCAAACACTGCTGGCAGGGTGAGTAATTGTGTGTCACCACATTTCACACGCAGGCACTGGCAGGAAAGCTCCCAGTCCCGGGAGGAGCAGCAGCTCCCTGAGCTGGGGGGGCAATCAGGGAAATGCCAGCCACGGATGGAGCTGAGGGATGGGGTGGTGGCACTCGGGGCTGGGGTCACACAAAGCCCCCACATTTGGGGGGACAGCGCTGGCAGCAGTGACCCTGCAGGGTCACAGCTCTGCCTCTCCTCTTGTGTCACTCAAAGGGGTTTTTTTATTTATTCCCAGAGCACAAACCCATCCTGTTCCATCCAGGTACAAGGATATCTTTGAGTTGGTTTTGGTGAGTGTTTTACCCTGATAGAAGCCTTGTGCAGACAGCACATTTCCTTTACCTGCTTCAGGTATAACTCCATTCCCTAATGGAAATAGGTGCTTAAATACCCCATAATTGCTACTCCAACTGCAGATATGATCCTTAACTACAGCTTTGTGCCTGAAACCTGGACTAAGTAGCAGATTTAACTCTCTTACCTGCTCCTGAATCACCTACAACACATCACCTGATGTAGTCAGAGCACTCAGCAGCACTGTACAGCAATTCTGTAGTCACTGAATATTATTGCATTATTTCTGCTCTCCACTGTGTGTGATACCACGAGAGAAGCTGGAAAACCACTCCTCTTTCCCAGCCAATTGTGTGTTTTTCCCGTTTAGCAAACACTTAGCACTTCCCTCAGTCAGTTTTAAACAGCCACTCACCACATGCTCCCGGAGGAGTCCCTCTCCCCAAAAGCGCTGTAGGAGCCGTCCTGCCTCTTGTAGGTCAGCTGGCGCTGGTAGCCTGGAAGTCACAAAAGAATTGGGGGAGTCCAAAATCTCCTCACACAGAGAAAAACGAGTATTTCAAGTGAATGAAGACTCAGAACATCTGGAACATGTGTAAGGGATTCTGCTGCCTGAGGCAGCTTCTTATTCTGCTGTGAGTGAGAGCCAGCTCTGTGTGCAGTTTATCCAGAAATCTGCTCAGGATAACATCTGGGACACCACAGCTCCTGCCTTTTGGACACTGGAAATGCTAAAAATCTGATACTTCTCCGAAAAAAAAATGCATTATCAAAGGTTTTTACTTCAGCATAAAGCCACTCTCCTTCCATTTTACTTGCATTTACAAATGAAAATGTCTTGCCTGTGACATTACAGCTGGATTCAGACTTTTCCCAAAGCTGTTGCTTGGAACAACTTCACCTAACATAAAAACAACATCTGTGATCTCAGGGCTCATGAACACCTCCCAGCTGCAGGGGCTGGCCCAAGGCTGCGTTTAGACATCATCATTAACAAGGTGAGTGCTGAAGATAAGAACTCTCTTCTGGAATGTCTTCTGAGGATGAAAATGAAAAAAGGAGCAGAAATGCTCTTTTCTACTGGGAAAAGGGTTTGTTCTCAAACCTGTTTGTCTACAACCATGATAAAGCCTCCACATGGATGAATACACAAAACACACCTGGATAAAGCTCTAAAAACACCCATTGGAGTCAAACCCATTGGATATTTCTGATAAGGAAAAGTCCAATCTGCAAGAAGATTGTGTCCAAAGACATTTAATGCCTGCTGAATGCAGCACACAGCTTTGTTCCACACCACATGATGTTTTTATGGGAGTGGATTTGTGTTTCATTTCCAGAGGTGAAGTTTCTGTGCTGACCTCTGCAGATCCAGGCAGCTCCTCCATCCCTGAGGATTGACCATGACTCCCACACTTCCCAGTTGTTCTGCAGCCCCCCCAGTGCTCACAGGGAATGGCCTGAAAAATGGGAGGAATGAAGACCTAGAGATTGATGATGCTCTTGTAGTCACCACATCTTTGTCTGGGAGTGGTGGGAGAGGTACAAATACCTGGCAGAAAGCCTAAGTAATGGTATTATTATTTTTTCTTCTTCCACAAAATAGGGGTTAAATTAAATTAAATTGCTTTTTTCCCCCTCAGGTATGATTTACTACTGAGCAGTTCCTGCTTAAACAGCTCCTCAGTGTTCATTTCCAGTGTGCAAATGGACACATTCAGTCCTTACATTTTATATCACTCTTCTCATTGTTTCTGTTTTCTTTTTGAGTGTTCATGGTGCCAGTACTGCCAAGGCTGTGGGTCTGACCCTGCATGGGCCACTCATTCCAGAGCTGGAGCCCATGATCACAGTGGGTCCCTTCCAACTCAGGATATTCTGTGATTTTGAGCTGAATTATGCTTCACTGCTCTTGCTGTTATTCTTCTTTACTTGTTGGCTGGGAGTGGCACAGACTTTATGCCTTGCTTCTGAACCCTCCTCTTTTCTAAACACTCCTCTGGGTGCTGGGGCTCCCTGGAGAGGTTCCCCTCTCCACTTTTCCCCTGTCCACCTGCTTTTTTGGGGTTTTTTTTGTGGGAAAGTAGAAAAAATACTGACTGGCTTAGCCCAGGCCACTTTTAAAGAGGGAATACACAGGAATTGCTGGGTATCAGCACTTTCCATGATGGATGATTAAGGGATGAAGAAGTTTTCTGGCTTGGTAAATCACAAAAGCCTTCTAGAGTGAGCACTTCCCATCTAAACCTTTTACTTGGCAGGGCTCCAGTAAACACAGAAGGGTTTAAAACTCTTGGGGTTTCTTCTGTAAGGGTTAATTAGCAAACAGAGTTTGGAGCCAAAAACCTGGAAGGTTTGCAGATTCATAAAAAGAAACAAAAGCAAATGATGTTGCAAAGGAAACACTGACTCGGGCCATTAACAAATTCCCTTTGCCTCACTGCTCCCAGCAAGCACAGAAAATTACAAGTGAAATCTGGAGCCAGGCAGAGGAAACAGAACTGGGCTTTTGCTGCTGAACACAAGAAATATCTCACATATTACATTTTATATTTATATTTTCAGAGGAGAACCACCTAACCCTGTCACCTCTGATTTCATGACATGACTATTGTCTGACTCAGACACAAGAGAGCTTTGTCCCTTTGGGTCACTCTTGTTTTTAATGATCTCTCAATTCTTACTTGTCCTGAGAATTGCACTTAGTTATAAAACTATTTTGCACATGGTTCTTCCCAAAACAAACGCTGAGAAAAACAGTGGGGAAAAAAAAAAAAAAAAGGAAAAAGGTTGTTTTGAGCTGCTTAGTAAAGTAGGACAGGACACTGAAAGGAGAGATAACCTAGAACCATGTAATGAAGGCTTTTAACTACTTTGGATACTAAATTCTGATTTTTGGTATATTGTTACTAAGAAAATACTATTTTTAAAAAAGTCTAGAAAAGAGCCATACTTCTAATGACTCAAGGCTTGAAAAGACAATTTATGAATAAAGCAAAATCCCCTAAATATACAGATTTTGCTAAATTTCATTTTCCTTTCCTTTCTAAAATGTTTCAACATAGAAATCAGCTAAGGAAAAAAAGAAAGATAAACCAATAAACATCTGAACTAGGAGTTACTGAAGGAAAACCTCTTGCCATCAAAATCTGTCAGACTGTGAGATTATCCTGCAAGAAATGATGAATCCTCATCACCTGGGCTATTCTTGATTAGAAAAAGTGACATGTAAAGCAAAACTATTAACTCAAAGCCTTTTCTCCATCTGTAAATGTAACTGTAATGAGTTACCTTGGACAAGGTAATCAGTGGCTTCAACCTCCACCTCGTGACTGAGCTGCTTGGTTTTCTGCAGGTATTTCAGGACAAAGACATTGGGAGCAAAATGGATCATGTTCTGCTCCCCACAGCCAAAGGGCAACCTCAGCAGGTTGTCCAGGTTGTTCAGAGTAGGACCCATCACATCTCCTGTTTGGGAAAGAGGGGAAATGCTCAGCATCAGGCAATTCAGGTTTCCTTTTGGTGTTTTCTGATTAACCCCCACCTGACTGCACTGATGTCTCCTGGCTACCCCAGAGCCAGCTTAAGTAAACTGTGACATAAATGGGAAGTCCTTCAGCTGTTAAGTCTTAGCCCTTCAATCTCTTGTTGGATTAAAGAAATTCCACATTCCAGCCTTTGGTTATCCATGACTTCCCAGTTCAGACCAGTTTAGACCATGGCACAATTTGTGGTGAGGATGACAATAAAATAAATGCCATGAACTGTAACAGTGCCCCTGCAAAGCCCCTCACGTGGCATCAGCTTTAAACCACTGTCAACCCAAACAGGCTTCAAACAAGTGACAAAGAAACCCCAAGGAATTCTGGCCCGGAATTAAGCAGCAATAAACCTTTTTAAGTGCCTGTGACTATCTTATCTGTGTGCATTACTCAAGTACTGGTCAGAAGTAACAGCTGGAGCATCTGTTCACATTTGATAAGGGGTACCTAAGTGATACCTCCTGATAATTGATACCTATTATTGAAGCCGTAGCTCTTTCTGATCCTGGAATTATGTTGTGGGGAACTCCAAGAGTAAATGCTTCATTGTGATTTTCATCAGTCTCTTCTTTTCTCCAAATTTTAAACTCTCCCATTGACCCCCAGCCTGTGGAAAAGCCAATGTACTTCACCTCAAGCTGTTTGGGGACTGTCCACTCCACAATAATAGATTCGTTTAGCACCCGAGTACCGTGGCCAACCTGAAAGGGACAAGAGACCATGGAGCTGCAGGAGCCCACACACCTCCCAGCTCAGGTGTGCACTGCAGGGCCAGCAATGCCTCTTCTCTTTCCCACCCACAAAACAACCCAAGGAAGTTCAAGGAGAGTTCCACGGGCTTGGCCCTCGAGGCTTTCATCCCTAAAAATGTTGAGGGCTGAGGTGCTGAGGACAAAACGGTGGCAAAAGCAGAATTGTTGTGGTCACAACAGCCTGATCAGGGCCTCAGGGGGGGAAAGGTAACAGGAATGAAGCTGCCACCTTCTACACCAAGAAAAAACTGCTCTGTGTGTGCTCAAACTGTTTAAAAAGAGACTCCAGAGCACCACACAGAAGAATTCAGTACCTGGATAACTCCATTTTTCCAGCTGATCCAGAAGCTGCGGAATTCATCCCAGGAGAGGATGCCAGGGGTGTCCCTGCTGGCCACTGGCTCTCCCATCTTGCTGGTGGAAATCCAAGTCCTGGTGTTGTGCTGTCCCCCGATGACAATCTCTGTCATCTCTGCCATGTCGTGGGGGCCCGAGGACAGCGCCAGGTGGGCGTCGTTGTGAGCCTTGACAGCGATGTCAAAGTGCCTCATCTGGGCTGGCTTCTGCATGTACTGGTACTCGTACTTGTTAGGGGTGGAAATGTGTATTTTCTCTAGTCAGAAAAACAAGGGGATGCTGTAAGAATTCGGGTTCATCTTGCAGGCAACAAAAACAACGCCTGGCTGATAACTGAAGTTCAAACAGATCTTTCCTAAGTACATGGGTTTGGTTTTTTCCAGCTTCTTTTAAATTGTTAACATACACATGGGTGTTTCTTTATCTTTTATTTTTACCCCCTTCAAGGCAGAAAATCCTTCAAACTGCTCAGCTGAATTCAGCAAGTGATTTTTCAGTTCTGATCTGCTGGTCAAAAGCATCTCTGTTCAGCTACTGGAGCCAACTCTGAGCTATTCAAATCTCTGGCAGAAAGGACAGACTGATTCCAGAACTGAATCTTAAAACACCAGCTGAAAATAAAGCACAGTCCCAGTTACTGTCCACAGTGCTGAATACTTAAACTGTTCCATAAAGTAAAGGAATTTAATGGCCATTTCCAGAAATCACTTGGGCAGTTAGAGCAAATTCATAATTAGCCAGCCAGGTAAGAAAGACTCTTTGTTTACAAGTTCTTCCTACACATCATAACTCATCAATCACAGAGAAATGGAAACAAAGATTTTTTTTAATTTTTTTTTTTTTAAACAAGATGAAACCAAATGCTTCTTTTTAAAACCGATTCAAACAAACTGAATATTTCATTCAAATCATGAACTTACCATTTGGGCAGAAGAACACACTGTAGGTGTATTCTCTGGACAGTCCCTCTGGCTATAGAAAGACAAAAATTCACACATAAACCACAGGGCTTGGATTAGCAGGAACAGATTCCAGTTTTACTTGGAAAATACAGAAATTATTTTTGCTGCTGTGCAGTGGTTTATATCCTTTATAGAAAAGTGATGGCACTGTGCTCTGTTGCTAGAGCAGTGCAAAGCACTGCCAGAGAAGCTTCCATTTTATCACATTAACTAGGCAGGCTTATCCCATCAAATTCCCATTGCTTTTTCTCCTGAACAGTGAAGATTCACCAGAGGAGCTCAAATAGGTTCTGTCTGTACAAGTTACCACTAAATTTGATTATTTCCAACCTCCCTAACACACCATAAACCAACTGAGGATCTTTATAAACCCTTTCACGTTTGATCTCACAATTTGCCCGAGCATTTTTTTTCCTGAACGATGATAAATTCGTGTTTTCTCACCTCAATAATGACACTGCTGCGAACATAATCCACCCCCACAGGGCTCCTTTTGTCCATGTGAGAATCCTCTGAGTGTTTGCCACTCTTCAGGGGCTGCATCCCCTCCTGACAGCAGTTGGTCCCACCATAGGCAAAAGCTTTTGCTAAGGAACAGAAGGGAAAAGCAGCAGAGATTTTGAGATTGGAAGATCTCTAGAAATTAAAGAGATCCAAAGTAATTAGAAGCAGCTGATTAACAGCACATCAAGTGCTGTAATTACCTCTCTTATTCCCTTTATCCATATCTGAGAGAGCACATCTAAAATCAGGCAATATTTGAACAATCAACAGAGAAACTCTTTCCTAGTTTTGGGTGTTGCACAGTTTTTACTGGGATAATTTGCACAGAATTGGTTCTGATTGTCTTGTTTAAAAAATTTCTCTGATCTCCTCAGGGAAATGTAAAAGGCCCATCCTTGGATAAGCAAATATCACAACAGGAAAACTGATGACCAGAGAATATCCTGATGTTTATTTGTGCATTCTGTGCATCACAGGCAGGGAATTTGTTCCTACAGCAAATGAGGGTGAAAAGCCAAGCTGGCAGCAGGTGGAATGAAGGAAGTGGGGCAAGAGGGGAACAATAATTTCCTCCTGAGAGAAGAACAAGAAGAAACATTTATAAAACCCCTTCAAGCAGCACGAAGATGTTTTGAGCTGTGTACCAGTGATGTTGCTGAGCCCCAGCTCGTTGAAGGACAGAACGATGGAGGTGGGTTTGGCTTCCCCAGGGGCCACACATTTCTTCCTGGTCAGGTGGTGCTTCCCAGGGTGCCCAACAAACTTGATGCCTTTTGGGACAGAAATCTTCACGTGGACCTGTGAAAGTTTTGGAAATGCCGTTTATTGGAAGTATCAGCCACAAAGCCAAACTGATCTATGATCAGTGAAACCCACAGAATCCTTTAAAAAAAATTTAAAAAAAAATCACAGATTATTCATTCTTCAAAGTTTCTAGCTGTGGATCTGACTGAGAGCAGTACTTTCAGCTCAGCAATTCTACAAGGATTTCTGGGAGATGCTGCTGGAGCTGGGCAGACAGGGAGTGTGAGAAGAAAACATTAAGGGAGATGGAATTTCCTGGGGAAAAAAAAAAAAAAAATCCTTCAAAATAAACTATTTTGCCAGCTTTTTGATCATGAAGGAAATTCTTCTTTGTGGTTCAGCACAAGATTCCAAATTTCTTCCCTGCCTTTTTCAACATTGGTTTTTCTGAAGTGCTGCGAGACACTCCACACGTGTCTCAAATGCAAACTGAAGCCATGACATTTATTTGAGATGAGAAGAGCAAGATTTATCTTCTCAGAGCATCTCAGCTGAGCTGACCCCCCCTCCGTGAGCCTGGCACCTTCTCTAGTGTGATCAGTGATCAATGATTTTGGCTAATTGCCATTGTGATAAGGCAGGGCTGAGCCGTCACCTCTGCACACACGGCCAGGTAATTGTACACAGTGAGGGGGATCTTGGTCTGCTCGCCCCGGATGACGTGGTAGGGCAGAGTGAAGTCGATGAAGAAAGGTTTGAAGGTCTTGAGCTCTGTCTGGCCGGCAATGCCCAGCCCCTCATCCTCAGCCACAGCCACAGCCTCGGTGATCCACGTGGTGATGGAGTCGGGCACCTCCACCTGCAGCTGGGCTTCCCCCGAGCTCTTGCTGCCAAAGGAACACACAGAAAATGATTCAGCACGTTAATTAGATGCTTCTTTAATGAAGTCCCCAAATATTTTGGGGAATTCCCTCCAGGTTCAGATTTATAGATGTATAGATAGAAAATACAGAGCCTTTTGTCAAGTTCAAAGCAGAGGATGCTATCTAATAAATCTATCAGTTTTGAGACCTGCAAATATTTATAAGCACCAGAAAAGCAAATAGTTACTTCTGCAAAAAACCAAATTCTTCCTGGATTAAAAACTTCATTTGCAGCCTCATTGCCAAGTCACTTTTCTTAGAGGCCAATATCTGCACTAAGTAAAAAAAAAAAAAATTTAAAAAATCTAAACAGAACTTGAAAAAAACCCCAAAATCTAAAAAGAAAGACAAGAAATAATCCCAGACCAAAGTCTTGGATAAAAACAAGAATTTATTTAATAGCTAGAGAAATAAAAGTGTTTTTTGTTGGAACTCATTGTCCCAGTGTCCATTTCCACACTGCAGACTCTGCAAGGACAAATGAGAAATTTTCTAAACATCCAGTTCAGCAACTGCTTGGTTTGGTTCAGAAACATTTTGGTTTGCTCAGTTTTGGAATGACTGACTTAGAAAATGATAGGTTTGGAAATTTTCTTTCCATGAGGATTGAAATTAATTATTAAAAATCAAATCTCTGAATATTTAACTTTCCTGTGCATAGCACGATGGGATATCATAAACATGGTATCCTCTTCCATTCTTTATAATAATAGAAATTCAGTTTTGTTGTTCAGATTTTGCTATTTCCCTCCTGCAAAGCAGCTTTGGGGCTGCCTGGGACAGAAAACATTTCCTCTAACACAAGAACAAAAGCGATTTCATGGCTCAGCTGGCAGCATGGTGGGTGCAGTTGTGAGCACACCCTAAGGCAGTTTTCTCGAGTCCTTATTTATTCCCCAGACAGTGACACACGTGCTGCCAGCTCTCTGGAAAAGGAGAATGGGAGCTCTCCTGTCCTAATCGGCACAGCCCAGGGCTGCACGGCCACTGCACTCTGCTCACCCCTGGGCCACCTCTGGAGCTCCTTGAATTTGCTCCTCTGAATGAATTCTCAGCCAGCCTGAAGCTGTTACCCCTGTCAGGAGCCAGGCAGCTCATCAGGGACTCAGCTCTGGGTTTGTGATACAAGGGGGAGAGAGATAGCCACAATAAAAAGGAAAAAAAAAAGGGGAGATCACCACAATTAAAAAAAAAAAAAGAAGGGGAGATCACAATAAAAAAAAAAAAGAAGTTGAGATCACTGTGGTTTTTATGGGGTCAGTCAGACTCCAAGCACTGGCTGGTGAAATGTGGCTCCCCCAGCTCAAACTCCAGAGGGAAAAGCCTTGGGAAATGCACTTGTATCACGGAAATGTGGAATGGTTTGGGTCAGAAGGGATCTTAAAACTCATCCAGTGCCACCCCTGCCATGGCAGGGACACCTTCCACTGTCCCAGGCTGCTCCAAGCCCAATGTCCAACCTGGCCTGGGACACTGCCAGGGATCCAGGGGCAGCCACAGCTGCTCTGGGCACCCTGTGCCAGGGCTCCATCCCCATCAGAGGAAGATTTTTTTTTTTTTCCTGATATCCAATCTAAACCTACTTAAAGGTTGAAGTGATTTTAACTCTTTTTAAGCGTTGGTTCCCCAACACTTTGGAGCTCTGAGCTGAGACCTGCAGAGCTGCTCAGCCCTGGGGACCAGGCAGGAGGGTGGAAGGGTGTCCTGGCTCCAGGGCTGGCAGTGTTCCAGCCTGTTTAACCGGACAATTTGTTGCAGCTGATGTTCTTTCCACTGGGATTTCAGCCCATAACCAGCATTAACATTATTTTCACACATGAGGGCACTTACTCTTCTGGGCACAGGGCCAAAGTACACACTCATTTCCAGCCATTAGACCCTCCAGCCAGGCTCTAGGAATTTTTAGAATTGGTTTGGGAAGTTGACATTAGGCTTTTGTTTCTCTCTCTTTTTTTTTTTTTTTTTCTTTTAAAGGATTGTATATTATAATTATAAATGGTAGAAGAAAAAAAATAAATTCTTCCTGTTCAAGAGAGTGGAAATTAAGGAATGCTCCAACTCAGTTGTTTCTAATGAAATGAAGTGGAGAAAATGCAATCTGCAACTTTTTATTCCACACTCTCCCACTTATAATTAACTGCCCCAGCTTGCTGAGGCCCAAACGGGCACTTCTGGAATTCTTTGTGTATTTCTACAAAGCATATTTCATGCTCAATTGAACAGATTTGAATACACTTGCTCCAAGTTCCTGTCAAATTTAATTTAGCATCATTTGTTGAGAATGAAGTTTACTTGCAAACCTGGAGAAGCATTTTAATAATTGCTTCAAATTATCCTAGATGTGCTGTTGTGGGATGGATTAGTTATCTCTTGAGTAATTTTTTTTTTCTAGTTCCAACTGTACCCAGAGGAAACCAGGATTTCTGAGGCAGCAGATTGAGGTCTGGGGGAGATGACAGAGAAAGAAAAGCTCTGTGAAATTTGAAAAGCAATCAATAGAGAATCAATGCAGACACAACTGGCAGGTCCAGCCTGAAGCACTTCAGGACCAGAGGAAATGTTGCAGAGATTGGAGTGGTCATGGAGAAAAACAACAACAATAGGGGGAAAAATAAAAATAAAAATTTAAAAAAAAATTAAAAAACCAACATAAAATGCCAGTGTAACATTAGATTTTAGAGAGCTTTGTTTTCTGTAGCTGAAGAGAACCCTCTGGACAGAGTGAATGCCAATACCTGACATTGAGGCAGTGCCAAATCCACGTCTCAGGGAAGAAAGTTCTTTTCCTCTTCTCTGCCCTGCTAGAAAAAGAAACAAATCCTTGCAAACTGATTCATTTCATAAGACATTTTCTGCAGCCACTGATAAATCAGAGTTATCACCTGACTCTGGCTCACATGACCCAAGCTCTGGCTGCTGCAGACTCATTAAGGAGTGAATGGTGATCACTCACAACACAAATTACACGGGCTTTTGAAACAATCCCTTCGTGTGCACACATCTGCACACAAACAAGAATCTGAAAAAATAGTTCAAGATAACCTTGGGAGCTGGCAGAAATAATGGAATCTAAAATAAAATTGGTTTGGGATCCAAATTCTTTCACCAAATGGAATCAAGGGGAACAAATACAACACACACAACAGCAGCCACTACAGCCACTCCTCTGTGTCCTTCTCCATCCTTGAATTCTCTTGATTTCTAATACTTTAATTATTTAAATCAGATTTTCTATACCTGTTGTACCAGGTTATCTATTTCTTATCATGTTTCTAACCCCAGAACCTCCTCTAAGAGAGGCTTCAGGGAGTTCAGGATGCAGAGGGAAGGTGCAGCATCACTTGTGGTGCTTCACAGCCTTTCCCTCATGCAGACCCTTCATTCTGAGGATTTTGGTCACCAGCTGAATGGTCCCAATCATAAGCAATGAGTGACTCTGCAAAAACAGCTGCAGCTTGCAAATATTCCAAGAAATTCACAGTAAATTGCAAAGAAATATTCTTCAAAATGATAATTTAGGACTCGTTGCATATGTCATTTTTCCAGAATTAAATTAAATTTAACAAAGCAGTGTCAGTTAAATTTTTTTTCCATCTACCAAGCCATTGGAAGAATTTCCCCATCACTGCCTTGCCTAAACCTGGAGGCATGGAGGTGGCAAACAGCTGAGAATAGAGAAAAAAACCCAGCCAGGAGTAACACAGACAATAGATATTAACCCCCAAACGTTACCTTGGTGCTATTTTGGAATGCATGGTGGCCACCAAGGTGCCAGTGTGTGGCTGGAAGGCTGGGACAGCCTCATCTGTGTACATGCCTCCATTCTGCCTGTGGTTCAGGCTGACTATGTCAGTCATCACCACCAAGCCAGTTTCCTAGACAATGAAAAAATCAACACCACAAAACAAAAACCAGCAAGGAAAAAAAAAGAAATAAATAAAAAGAATTAAAGAAAAATAATTACATGTGCACTGATTTTTTTTTTTAATAGAATCCCTCAATGCTATTTCCACACTTACAGGGGAAATCACAATTGAATCTCGAGGGTTTTTTTAAAGCTTTGTAAAAAATGTTAATGTGAAGGTGTAAAGGCAGAGGCTTTATGAGAAAGCTTTTGTTTGCTTGGAAAATGCATTTAAATTGGTATCTAACATTATTGGGCAAGTGTGACAGGTAAAAAAAAAAAAAAAAATCATTATTATTATGTATTTTTCCCCTGGAATACAACATCACAGCTTTTTCCCTTTCCTAAAAGTTTGCAGTGTGGTGTGCTGCAGGGAGCAGGCAGCTCTGCCCTGCCAGGGATGCCAAGCAAATGAAAAATGTCCTCAGAGAGCTCCTGAGGCAGCTGCCAGCTCTGTCCCTAAATGCTCTCATTCACAGGAGGCAGCACGGGAGAAGGAGCTTTGTTCTCTGCACTCACCAGGTGTGCAGCCCCTGCACCCACACCAGCCCCCCAAAAATGAACCTTGGCCCAAGAGTTCACTGCTCTCAGGACAAAAAAAGCTGCATCAGAGAAAAAACTCCCTCAGACCCCAGTGGGAGAAGAAGCAGTGGATAAAAATGAGGATTTAGTTTGTAATTAAGAGATTGAGGCATCGGAGGAATGTGTGAAAGCCTCTGGGGTTTAAGGCAACATAATAAAACAATTTAGCTAAAATCAGAGGAAGGCCAAAGAATGAAGAGTTGAGGGATCTGTAGGAAGCAAGGATCATCATTATCAGCAGAGCTGGGGAATAAAGAGACCCGAGCTGTGACACTGGCTCCCAGCCAGTCTGCATTTCAGAGGAGCAATAGATTGTAAAGAAAATCCAAGATTTACAGCTCAGCCTTTCAGGTGGCAGCTCCTTGTGCCAGGGAGCACAGGGTGCACCTGCAGTGTAAAGGAGGGATGTGAGCAGAGCCTGAAAGGCTGGAGGGACTCCACTGTACAAATGTAGCAAGGAAGGAAGAGGCAAACAAGCAGAACTTCTCAAATGGATCAGGGAACCCCCATTTTAAACCAAAGCAAAAAGCTCATGGAAATAGCAGCGTGTCTTAAAAACTACAAATGACTTTTTCAGCTTAAAAGGCTGCATTGTTAGCATGCAAAACAATTAAGAAATGAATTTGTGCATGAGTACATTTAAAAAAAAAAACAATTTGTTTTAAATGCTCAACTTGCAATTTGATTCAAATGCACAGCACAGATCAAAGGAAATCAGGTTTTTAAAATCTAGGCAGGTTTAACTATGGAAACACACCAAGTAACTATAAATATATTGCATTTAAATAATAACCTGATCAAGGATATAAAGGTCTTTCATGCAGATGGCAACAGAAGCTGGGAGAACCAGGGTAGGAAAGAAATTGAAATGATTTCCAAAGGACAGTCCAAAATGCTCCAAGGAAAGATTCACATTCCCTGTTGGAGTGGCTGCAGCAGAGATCTGCGAGCTCACCCATGCCTGGAGGAACCTTCTGGTCCCTGTCTGATTCTGCAGAGCATCAGCAGGAATTCCTTCACCCAGCAGGATAACTCACCCTCCCCAAACCGGCCAAAAAAAAAAAAAAAAAAATCAAACCTCATTTCTCAAATATCCCTGCTAGAGCAGCTCACTCTGCTCTCAAAAATTACTTTTCATCCTACCCACCCTGGAGAAACAGCAATGATGTGGGGAAAACTCCTGGCCTATGGGGCTGGAAATGCCCGAGGGAAGGAGGGAAGGGAGGGAAGGGAGGGAAGGGAGGGAAGGAGGGAAGCAGAGGGAAGAGAGGGAAGAGAGGGAAGGAGGGAAGTTCTTCCTACTGTAAAGGCGAAGCGAGCGTCCTTGGTGATGTCCCAGTGCCAGGGGAACACCGAGGACCTGCGGCGCCTCCGTGAGGACATGCCCGGCCACCAGAAGTGCCCTTCCTCCTTTGGGGCTCCAAAAGCATCAGACACATCGTACTCGGCAAGCTCCTGGAACACCTGCAGGGAAAGGGCACGGGCTGCTGCCCTCGGCTGCTCCCTCCAGCTGGGAGAGGAGTGAGAGAATTTCACTCCCACAGCAGGGAGGAAAGGACATGGCTGCTTAAATCTGCCTCTACCTGGCTGGCTGTGAGCTGGAAGCCTGGCTTGAGCAGGTAGACACTCTTGTCCACCGTGGCCATGCAGACACAGCTTCCTTTTGCAGCTCTCACCTTGATGTTCACAACATCACCTGGTCTGGTCTCGTTGGCCGAGAGCTCCACGGTAACCTGGGAAGGGAAATCCCATCAAACCCCACGATTATCCCCAAAAAAAAAATAAATCCAAGAGCAGTGAGACAGCAGGCCGTGCTGTCCAGTACCTGGTTCTCAAAGGAGGAGCTGACAGAGAACTGCAGGCTGTCTGTGACCCCCTCTCCGTTCTCCCTGACGTAGAACACGAGCAGCCGACCCAGGGGAGCCATGGAGTGAAGGACCCAGAACCTCAGGAAGGTCACACACACCTCAACCTCTGCTGCAGCCGTGCTGGGAGGGGCTGAAATAGGAATTGTGGAGAAAAATAGCTTTATTTATCCCTGTCACCCCCTCCTTATGCTGACAGGCACAGAACTGTCCATTCAGGACTTGTATTCTTCTCTGTTCCTGTTGCACACCGTCTTGAGTTCAGAATATTTTCCCTTTTCCTCCTCTTTGTGAAAGGTAATTAGCACTCAATTTAATGAGCAGCATGGTGAAGGTAGGTAGGGAAAGATTACTCTTTTTTTCCAGCCAAGAAATCAAGGAAACACACAGTTAAGTTATCAAGGTGTTGAAAATAAACAGAAAACATTATCTGGAGAATGCTGATGAGAGAAAAGGAGTAAGTTTGAAAAAGGATTATGCAGTTTATAGAGCAGAGAATCACTGGAGCTGTTAAACAGAATCACAGAATGGTTTAGGTTGAAGGGACCTTTAGAGATCCCTGCTGTGGACAAGGATGCCTTCCAGCACACCAGGTTGCCCAAAGTCCCACAAAACCTGGCCTTGAACTCTTCCAGTGACAGAGCAACCACAGAGTCCCTGAGCAAACTGTAAATGCAACAGCTCAGAACAAACCTTCAGTGCAGAAAATCATCACAAATCCCAAATTACTGATTGGCAGAAGCTTGGTGGGTACATGGAGGGAGGCTCCTGTCACTCTTCCCCCAATTCCCAAAGTGGTTACCAGGACAGCCAGACTTTTCCTTTGGCAGCTGTTTTATCCATCTTTCCAATCCCACCATTTTTTACCCCCTGCTCCCCAAATCCACCAGATTTATCTTGTACAAACCAAGAGTCCACATTTCATTTCCCTTCCCCCTGTGGGCTGTGTGATCTCCTTTATCAGTCCATTTAATTTCCTCTTTCCATCTAACGTTCTCTTCTCAGTTTAAGCCCAACCAATTTAACCAACCCGTGTCCTTCACTTCCCTGCTGCTCTACTCCAAGCAAATATTTGAGTTTTTTAACTGAGAGAGACCAAAGAAAACTTTCCAAGAGTTACCCCCTCTTGGAGGATTTTTTTTTTTTTTACACGACTGAGGGCAATGGATTTCATTATTTTTCTCGCACAAAATTATTGATATTCTTTAAGGAGCATCACATTAACAAAAAGGGTTGGTTTTTTTTGGTGAAAATAGGGGCTGGTTGCCTTTCTGGTGCTGGTACCTGTTCCTGGGAAGTGTGTGAGGTCAATGTTCTTCCCCAAGGGTGTGGTGGCTCTTTTGCTCCTCTGCTGGGTGACATTGCTGGGCTGCAGCCCTGACAGGACAATGTTCCCCCGTGATGCCACCTCATAGTGCAGAGTGAAGTTGCAAGGACACGTGGACTTGACTGCAATCCAGGCCTCCTCTCCCACCTGCAGGGCAGAAAAGCCAAAGATCTGCTCTGTATCGAGCTTTTGGGTGATAAAGCACAGAAACCTGCTCGGGTTCCAGGCCACAGGAGGTGTGAGCCCTCTCCTCACAAATGGATGCATTGAAAAATGCATTTTTACATTTGCACTGTTCTCAGGGACTTGCTCCACAATAAAAAGGGGCCCGTGTTCAGCTCTCCACTCGCTGCAAATCTACAGGAAAATGAGCTGGGGGTTGTATGCATTAATGAAACAATAAAGGAATCTCTGGAATCCTGAAAGTTAAGCCTTTTGGCACAGAGCAGCTGTCAGAATTGGTTGAATTTTAGACACCCCTTCAGTAGCCCAGCCCAAAAAAGGAAAGAGTTGGGTTGGGGGTGGGAAGAGAAATGTGTTTGATACCCCTTGCAGTTTAATTGTGATTACATTCATCTGGCAAATACCAATTCAAACATAACCATGAAATGACTGGGAAGAGATCAGAGGGAAAATGCTTTCAAATTATACAAAGTCTTGATAACAATCTGTAAGTCGGGCACTCAGGGAGGTGTCAAACACACAAATCAATGAGAAGAAAGTTTGGTTTGTTTTGTCTGCTCCAGAGCAGCACACCTGGGCACTGAAACAGAGGAGCTCACTGAGGATGAACACCCCAAGACAAAATCCCCCAAATCCCACCAGAAGTGACAGCAGTGATGGGATTAGCACTGGTGGTGCCTGGCTGAGTAACCATCACTCTGTGGAGCAGCAGCCCCTCCCAGGAACACAAACTCCTTCCTCCTGGGGTCTGAGCAGTGGCTGACACTTGTGCTCAGCAGGGTTCCTTCAGCACCTTCCCCTCCTCACCCTCCTGCCGTTTAAAGCAGAGCAGTTCCCAAATAAAACCATTCAAGGCTTGACAGAAAAATCCCAAAGAAATGTTCTGGAAAACCTCTCTTTCTTCAGCTCCAAGTGCTCTCCGTGCAGAATGCACACATGGCACAAACCAAAGGGCAGAACTGGAATACAAGGAGCTGCTGATGGTTAAATACAGTGAGAATGCCACAGAGTCCAAGAGGTGCCTCGTGACATCAAATATTTGAAGTATTAAGAATTCCCCAGTGCAAATGATGAAACAAATCATTAAAAAAATGAATGTAGCTAATTGGAACACCCAGTAAGAGCTGGCAATGCATGGAAACAGTTCCCACATCAGCTGGTCATCCAGCTCCAAGCTTTCCCACAGAAGAATTAGTTCTAATCAGGTTATAATAAGAACAATGTGTTCAGATTAGCAGTGTATAATCCCCTTTCCATACCTCAGGAAACTTGTAAAAGATTAATTAGCCATTAAACTTCCATGAAACGTAATGATAAAAAAAAAATACTCTTATTTGGATACAAAGAGTCTGAAACCAACCTGACAAACCTGCTGATAACAAATCTCAGTGTGTTTATTGCCAAAACCCACTTTTTTGTTCCACTGAGCAATATGCAGATCTTCAGAACATTTTCTTGGGTAAGAAGAAACCCTGAACAACTCTCAGAAAACATTATGCAACAGGCATCATGGTTAAATCAGATCTAAATCACAACTTTTATAGGGCAGAATTACATTTTTAGAGAGGCTCCTACAAAACCTACCAAGGAAGACAAGGCAATCACGTTCATAGTTCAATAACTGGAAGATTGAACAGATCCAGTTGAGATTTAAACTGCAAGTTCCAGTGAGACTGCACAGCCTTAATTTTGGTCTTCAGTAATTTCAGCCACTCCCACTAACTTCACTTCCAATCATTTCCAGCAAACAATCCATGTCTGAGCCTTATTGGAGGCACACAGAGCACACATTTAAACTGAAAAACTGAAGTGTTTTCCCTGCCTGCAGCCACCTCCTCTCTGAACAGAAAGGGTTGGAAACAAGGTGCTGCACAGAGCACCAAGGGAGTTTTGCTCAGCTCCTCGTGTAGCCCCACATTCAACAATTATTTGGTGGCTCAAGTGCAGCTCCTTCATCCTTTGTGGTGGAAAGGATCCCAGAACCAGGAAGGTCCAGAAATATTTAATTAGAAAAAAAGCACTTTAAACCAAGCAAAGCAGTGGTTTCCATGATGGAATGTGAAGCCAACATACCTGGAAAGGTTTATCTGGTGCCTGGAGCTGGATGTGACACTTGCTGGGTGAGTACCAGCTGCTGATGGACAAGTAGTTGGGCAGGTATTGATCCCCAGAGGGTTTCCCATCGATTGCTGTCACTTTGGTCTTTAAAAAAAATTAAAAATATCTGAATATTATGCATAGAAAGCTCCTTTTGTTCTTTCTTAATCTCTCTTCTCCCATTTTATACCTTCCACCTTTCATCTCTTGACATCTTTACTGCCCAAATATTGGACCCCTACTACCATGTGAAGCTGTATTTGGAGAAGCATCTTTTCCTTGTGGTTCTCAACATCAGTTCTCTCAGCAGCAAGAAACAAGGCAGTGTTTGCTGTGTTGAAACCCAGAAGCTGAAGTTAAAAGGCACTGATTCCCCGTTTGTAGCACTGATTTATAAAGTGCAGGTTTGACAAGATTAGTTACATTAAAGCCTGCTAATCCTGTAAGGAGCTTTTACCCACCTCCAGCCAGACATATTGGGCAGCTGTGGGGATGGAGGGGATTTCAAACTCCACCAGACCATTCCTTGAGACCAGTTCACTCGTGTAAACGTTGTCCTTTGGTGTGAGCTCAGCTTTAATTCGGATGGTGACTCTGTCAGCTGGACTTCCATCGGGGTAAGTGACTTCTACCTGCACAGTGGGGCATTCACAGAACAATTTGCTTCAAATTATCAGCAATTCTAGGCAATGCCAGGTGAGGAAAATCACTGGGATCAAGTCAGCACAACTTGAAACCAGCCACATGTCCATGGCTCTACTTTAAATCTCACCTTGCCTTTGTAAGGCAGCCCAGGTTTGAATTGTTTTCTGGTGTCCTTGGAGTATTTGATGTCAATCAGCTGCTTCTGGACAGGTGTGGAGTCATCAAAGGTCACCTGCTTGCTGCCATCAGAGCTGATCACCGTGGCCCAGATGTTGACTGTGCCTCGGAAATGCTCGGGGACATCAGCTGGCATCATGTCTTTGACACACACATCAAACACAGCAGAGCCATCGATCTGGGACGTGGGGGACAGAAAGGGAAAGAGCATTTCACACCCAAACACCACACCTAGAGCACAGGCACCTGATGGGAGCTTGCAGCATGGTTTTGGAAGGATTAGGATTGGAGGGAGTTAATTGAAGAGTGGGGGAAAAGGAGGGTCTGGACTAACTCTGTCACCTCAGTCTCCTGCTCTCCTCACCCCCATATGTTCTTTAAACAGATTAAAACTATGCCAACAAATTCTCATCCCAGCAAATCCCAGAATATCCTGAGCTGGGAGGGACCCTCAGGGATGATGAGTGCAGCCCCTGTCCCTGCACAGACCCCCCAACAATCCCACCCTGAGCATCCCTGAGAGATCCAAACGCTCCTGGAGCTCTGGCAGCCTTGGGGCCGGGACCATTCCCTGGGGAGCCTGGGCAGTGCCCAGCACCCTCGGGGGGAAGAGCCTCTTCCTAATATCTAAAATCATAAGCATACCATGTAAAAATAAGCAATATTTTTATTATGCTGGCCCCAGTTATAATATTTATTCCTTCATTTTCTGATCTCCCATCAGCAACAAAACAGAGCTGTGGGATAAATATTAAAGGAGACAGATCAGGCATTTCATCACAGGTGAGTCCATGGTCTCCCTCACCTGGGTGGTCTTGAGGACAGGGTGTCCCACTTCATGTCTGTAGTACCCAACACCATTTATTGTCATATTGACAATTAACTTCCCTGTCACTGGCTTTCCAAATGTGTATCTGAAATGCAAAGAAGATCATTAATAAATTCCAGCTGGTTTCTGTTCTTCTGGTTGTATAAAGACAATTACCACGTCACCTGCACATCTAGAACAGTACCACAGGAAGTTTCCCAGATTGTTATTTTTACCCTGTTTTTGAAGGCTCTTACATCAGAAAGCTTCTGATGATGATTAGAAATCATCTGAAAAGTCTGCAGCAGGAAGCTCCAGTGATTGCACCACAATCCCGAGCAATGGGACTTGGTTTGGGACACGTTCCTACCTGGCATGGACAGTTCCTTTCTCACACAGTGAAAGGTCACGGATGTAGCGAGGGGGGTCGATCAGCAGCTCAAACTTTGGCAACACTGCAATGAAAAGAAATAGAGCAGAATCTTTTCTCATTGCCCAGAATAGAGCAGAATCTTTTCTCATTGCCCAGAATAGAGCAGAATCTTTTCTCATTGCCCAGAATAGAGCAGAATCTTTTCTCATTGCCCAGGTGTTAACAAAGCCCCATAGCTCTGACAGGACTCTGGTTCTGATTTACCAGGGTAACACCCAGTAGAGGCTCAATCAACAAGAGCAGCCAACCAAAAGCACCTTGGCAAGGTGACCTTAGCACAGCTCAGTTACAGTGTCTGCATCCCTGAAATACATGGCTCTGAAGAATTTTTCCTCGTGGCATTTCAAATGCACTATTTCAGGTGTTTCATCTCAAGTGAAAGCATTTCACAGTGTTCTGTTCTTCCAAATGCACCTGGCTTAGGGCCAACTCACCGTATTTCTGCACCTCAAAGGATTTGTTGTAAGTGTGCCCCTGCATCTCAGCAAAGATGAGCCACTCCCCAAACACTGGCTGATCAGACAGAGGAAAAGTCATATTGACAATGCCTGAAAAAGGAAACAACACTCTGTGAACTCTGTCACTCTCCAGCCCTTGCCAAGCCTTACTGAACACCACTCAGTGGAAAGAAAAGCAAAGGCAAATGACAGTACACAGAGGAAAAAATAAATAATCTGGAACTCACCACAACAAAAGGGCTTCAAGTTATTCCATTCTATCATCCGAGACCCCCGAGGATCCTGCAGGGTGGTTTAGGGAGGAGAAACAGCCCAGTGAAAATGGGTTTCACTCATTCATTTAACTCAGTTTGAAAAAAAGAACTTCCTTTTGTCATAGACACACCTCACTAAAGCTCAAATGTAACCAATACCTGTCAAAAATATCCCAAAAGTACCTTAGCAGGGGTATTTGTTTTCTGGAATTATTTAAGAGCCCTGCTCCTGTGAGCAATGCACACAAGTGATCACTGACAAGCAGATCTTGCCCCTGTCTTCAGACACCAGTCCTGGATGGGAGGGACTGACCTCTGCAGACAGTTTATTCCTAAAGGGAGCTGTACAACCAGGAAGACAAATTTTAGCTGACAAACTCAGATGAAATGAATCCTGCTGGTTTTGTCAGCATTAAATCTTCAACAAGAGTGAATCCTTCTGCTTTCTGACAGGTGGTTTAAAAAAAAAAAAAAAGAAAAAATAAGACTAAACACAGAAGGAACCTCTCATTCACCTCATAAGGAAGAAGACAGGAGAACCCTTTCCTTTCCATGGATTTCTGCTGCCCACTATCCCTGCCTGGGTGCAGAGGTGAGGGTGGCCCTGCTCTGGCAGGATAGGAGTGGGTGGGCATTGAAAAGAAGGGAGAGGAAGTGGGGCTGTCACAGCTCCAAATGCCAGTGAACCAAGGCAATTCTTCTCAGGCTGAAAAGTGGGAATGGGTTTCTGAAACTGAAGTAGGAAACAAGGATATTTGCTGGTGATAGAAAAAAAAAAAACAAAAACAAAGGTACAGAGATCAGATAAAGACACATAAAAGGATAGAGAATTGCAGAGGTTAGTGGTGGGAATGGCCATAAAGGACAGGAAAAGCACAAATTTGTTCCTTCAAAGGCTACACAGACCTTGTACCTCTACAGGACACATGCTAGATGGACACACAGGTACTCACCACCACATAAGCTTCAATCTGAAAGAAAAAAAGAACAATAAAAGGCTTTATGAAACAACTTTTCTGCTTTTTTTGAAGTGTTGAGTTGACATAAGCAAAGTGTGAGACCCAAAATGACAGAGTTTGAACATCTCTTCTTTGTAAGAGTAGCTGAGAAATACACATTTAATTCAGACATTAACTGGAAAAGTGATAATTTACATATCAGTGCACTACCTAAATATGGGGCAAGTCTCTAAAAAATTCTTGTCTCTGCTCTGGCAGAGCTGCTTCCTATTTGCCAGCACTCCAAAAATTTGTATTCTCCTCCAATAGGAATATGACCAAGTGAAAAAAGCTAAATTACAAATAAAACATAAGCTAATAGGTTTAAAATCCAGTTCTGTTTCTGCATAAGTGTACATTTCAATAAAATGCAGGCTACCAAATATTCCATCATACTGCACAGTGTGAAGGAAAACAATTTTTTTTACCCTGTCGTTGACTGGCCTCAGGTCAGAAGTCACCATAAAAAGGTTTATCAACACTAAAAAAAGAAAAGAGAGAATTTATCAGTCACAGAGCTGAGACTGAGCAGAAGAACTCATCCTAAAAATACCCTTGCAAGCAGCCCTAGCATCTGGCAAATTGTCCAAGATGACTTCACCTTTCTGCTTGGGTTTGTAGACAGGTTTGTCAGTCTGGATGAACACTGAGGAGCCCTTGCTGTCGATGGTGACTGTGGTGTAGTTGTGGAAAATGTATCCTTCCTCTGCCAGGTGCCTGTTGCCCCAAACCTTCAGGTGTGCTTGTCCACGAAGCCCTGAAGGCACCTAAAAAACAAACCAGGAGGAACACACAGAAAAGCCTTTGAGCTTTTGGGGAATGTAGGTGAGCAAGAAGAGCCCCCTGCTGCGTTGTGGTGGAAACCTGTGTTGGCAGTGAAAAGAAAAATTAGGACATACTTGATTTTCTACAATATGTAAACTTGAAAAGAGGTAAATTCATGCTGAAAACATAGCAGGAAATGTTTTTCTGCCCTTTATCACTCAAGCAAAGTGATGGTTGATGCATGAGCCAAATGTGCAGCCTCCAGTAGAGCAGGTGTGCTCCATGGGGAAATAAACCCACAGCTCTGCCAACAGAGGGAAAAACCCCAAGGACCAACACAAAAAAGTCCCCCCCAAAAAAGTGCATGCATGTACACCTTCAACCAGCTGCTCAGAGAAATAAGTACTTTAAAATTACTTCAGATTAAAAGTGACAAAGCAAAAAATCTGATACCATTCCAGATGCAGATCACAACTGAACATTTTGTTCCACCAATCATCCCAAAAATGACAAACCCAAATTAAGTCCTAGGTAAAGAAACCCAATACTTTTAAGGGCTTGTTCTTCTAGTCCTGCTAATTTTGCCAACATTTCATGTCATAACCCTCCCCACAGAATTCTGTACTGCAATTCTTATAAAATAACCCCAACACAGAAATTTATGTAGAGCCATGAGCCACTGATTTTCTTTAGTGGGGTAAGGGCCTGGCAGGTGAGCTGTGATGGGTTGAGCTTTGTTGTTTTTACTCTCCACTTTTCCTCAGGTGAAGGCTGTGTCCTCCTCAGTGTGGGACCAGAATGTGACATTTATTTGTGCCAGAGAGCAATGCCTGATGTGACTGAGGGAAGGTCCCTTACACGTTCATCAAAATCATCTTAAAATAATTAACACTCACCTTCAGCTTAATTGTTCCTTTATCTAAAATATGAAAGAGAGAGAAAGCAAGAGTTATTCTCAAGGCAAGGCACTAAGATTTTAGATATTTGCAGTTGAGTGAAGGAAGACCCCACACCACAGAGCTGTATCCCTTTGTATGATTTGGATCCCTTTGTTATGATTTCACCTGAAGTAATTTTCCTGCACTATGTAAAACAGTCTGCAGGGTAAGTCAGACCTAGAAGAATTCTCCAAAATAAACCTGGTCCACATTTATTTACAACTTTTGTCCAACATGAGTTCTCTGTGATTGGAGAGCACCCCAAGGTTGAGGTTCCAGCACAGGGCAGCCTGTGGTTGCAGAAGTGTTTTGCTGTAAAAAGGACCTGGCCTCTTTAGGGACTTAAACAATTCTCAAAACCAACACTCATGGGATCTGCTCGGATTGCTGGGCACAGCCACACCCAGGAGTTCTCCTGAGCATTTCCTGTCCACGTGTGTCAGCATCAGTCCCTTTGAAAAGCTTTGCAATTGTCAGCCACTTTCAAAGGCATCAAGGGGAGGACGCAACCAGAGACAATCTGTTCCAATAAATGGAATGGCTCTCATAAAACTTGCAGTTTTAACATAGAGAAGGGTTAAAACATGAGGGTTAAAGAGCCTGATTGCCTTGACTGCACTACAGCTTCCACCACTGCTGACAGTGGTACAACAGGGCTGCTGGATTCCACTTTCTCCAGTGTAAATTCACTCAGTGTAAAGTTGGATGTTATCAAATCACATTGCTTTTACTCACAGGACAGAGGTATCTGGCTTGGATTTTAAAGACTTATCCAACTACACAAACATTACCACCTCTCTCAGCAACACCCAGTCCTGAAGATGGGGAGATTGTGTTCCCAGCACTCATTTTGGAGAGAAGAAATTAATGATGATGTAGACTTACATTTTTCTTTAAAATAAACTTTTCATTCTTTATATAACCCCCACTGATAAATATTCATGCATCAAAAGGAAGCATAATCACTATAAAACTCTGGAGTATCAGTTATATTGGGTCTCTGTATGTCTTGGTGTTGCAAAGTTCTCAGCCTTACGTGTTTGAGATCACACACACCAAAACCACTTTAGCACAATCAACTGAGAAGGTGCAGCAACAGCAAATCAATTCGTTTGATCCCATTATCACCTAAAGCAATTCTTTAGGAGCTATCAAGGTGCTCCCACAGCATGTCCACTCCTAAAGCAGCTGTGAGGTTGAGAGCCCCAGGAGCTCACCCAGCACTGTTCCGTGGCTCCGGGACACCGGCTCTCCTTTGACCACCAGCTGGATCTGCACCGTGGTCTCCTTGACAGAGTTGAAGATGGTCACACTTATGGCTTCCTCCACCCCAGAACGGAAAACAGAAGGTGCTGCAATCAAATAACCCCTGAGGAGCACAATTGGAAGTGGTCAGTCAAAGCACAGCCACAAGAGCTACCCAACCACAACGTTACCTTCACTGGGGAGACGATTTTTGTGCAGCAAAAAGAAAAGAACAAATGCTCTGTGATGTATTGTGGACACACACATTTAGAGAGCTGGGGAATCACAGCTTGGAAATTCTTTCAGGCCTGGATTTCTCCTGACTCTCAGGCTGACAAGCTGACTGCAGCTCCAGTTAAGGAGGAAGTCTCCCAAAGTAATAATATGGTGAAAAACAGAGTAAAATTCATAATAAAGATTAATCCCTGGTGTCTTTCCCGTGGGACACATCCTGAGGTGCTGTCCCAAGGATGTTTTTCCCAATTGTCCAATAAGCTCCTGTCCTGTCCTGGCTGCACTAACACACTTTAAATCCGGGCTGGCTGTACAATAAATTGGCCTTTTTTCCCCAAAGAGCTCCGTGTGTGTTGCTGTCCTTTCTCTCTCTTTGCAGCACAGTAACCACAATGTATTTGCCCCTGTAGAGTCACATTTGTTGGACCAGCAGTCTAATATGTGTAAATGAACAAACAGAGCCTAAGTGGCTACAAATGGCTTACAGATCCTTAGGAGTTAAATAAAGCCAGTAATATATCAATGCTTATTGCATTTATAACAGTAAATACATTCATTTATCTAGTACATGTAGCAAACTAAACATACAACCAGCTAATCATAAAAGAGCTAAAGTTCATGAAGGAATAAGGAGGTACCTGAACCTCTCATGGAGCTTTATAGCCACGCTTTCTTTGAAACAATTTAGATATTTTTTGGCTCAATCATAGGGCTCCGTTTTCATAGATCAGCTTCATATAGGAGGAGTGAAGGGATTCAGAGCTGATTTTTGGAGCTTTCTAAATGTCAGACTCAGTGCATGGAACACACCTGAACTTGCAGTTTTATACAGAAGCAGCCCAGAAACTGCAGCTACAAAACTGGGCTCGAATTCCCAGCTCTACCACCACATTCTTCTTCAAACAATTAGATCCTGCCAGTTTACAAAAGGCATTATTTTTCGAAGGCACACAGAGAGCTTTAAAGCCACCCAAAACGACCTCCCATAGATGCTGCAATGTGAGAGTTTCTGAATGGAATCTGCACCACTCCTCTGTGAATGGCACCGTGCCATGAACTTGTCAGCTAAAAGCATTGCAGGCTCTGAGCTCTTCGATGCACTGGGCTGGAAGCAACACATCTATATTCTCTTCATGACACACCTTTCTGGGTTTTTTTTCCCCCTAACCAAAAGGATTTTTTTTTTTTTTTAACGCGAGGCAATTCCTCAGATGCCTTTTCAAGCCAAATTTCTCAGCCCATTCCTTTCTACAGTCCCATGAGCCACGTTGCTTTAGCTCGTGATTAATTATCACTATGGGATGAGGATGATGGTGTTTTACAGCCCCCAAGTAATCTTTTATCAAATTCCAAGCCCATGTTCCTCTCTCAGCAGGCCCCATTGCCATGGAGATCCCATTACCCCCAAAGGAAGTTCAGAACTCTGTGGCATTTGAGTTAAATTGCACGGGGTACTTGCAGATTCAAAACCTTATGGCTGCCAGGTTTGAAAATTCATCAGAATGGTAATAAATAACAATAAAAAGTTACTACTGAGCCTGCAAATCCTTGGTCAGAGAGATAGCCGAATTAGCTACAGAGGGAGAAAGAGTACCAGCTGCATTCAGGATGAAATGATCAGATTTAAACTGTCACAAGCCCAGCACTGCAGTGCCATATGTGAAGCACATGTACTCACATTGTTCTGAATCGCTGAAACTCTTTCTGAAGTATCAATCCCTTGATACAACTATTTAAATCACTTATTAAGTGGCATTTGAAAATTAAATATTTAACTTGGCAATCAAAGAGTTAACTTGACAGGGACTGGACAGATCCTTTAAGCACTTTTAACTCACAGCTCTGTCAGGTTACACCAAAACTTGGCAGGACGTGAAATATTTTCTAGTAAGCAAGTGAGAATAAGTTCTTCGTGGCACTCAGTTAATGCAGCTATTCACGATGCTGACGGGCTATAATAACCCGGGGGTAAAGAACAAAGCAAACCTTAATCAAAATTAACCCAAGCACACTGGAAAAGAGCCGCGGATTCAGTTTCTAAAAGTGCGGGGAAAGTTCTCTGACTTTCTCCCCGGCTGATCTTCCCCACAAAATAAATAAATAAATAACGACATAAATCTTCACACGGTGCTCAGGAGCGCCCAACGCCACCTTCAACCACCCCCAGCACCGCAGCAGCCGGATTCCTTAAATAACTGCAGGCAGATAAAAGCTCTGCGGCCGCTGTCGGGACAGCTGGGGGCAGGTTCGGCACGGGCGCCTTCTCCTCTGTCCGCGCTCGGCACCGGCGGGGACACCCGGGGAGCTCCGCGCTCCCTCCGCGACCCCCGCGGGCTTTGTTCCGCCGAACCCCCCGGAGCCGTGGCCGGGCACAGCCGGTTCTCCCCTGCCGGGGATGCTGTCGCTGGGTCCCCGGTACTTACTGGCGCTGGCGGGGCTGGGCAGCGCTCAGGCTGCACAGGGCGAGGAGCAGCAGGAGCAGCGCCCGGGCGCGGCGGGGCTCGCAGCCGGCCATGGTGCCGGGAGCCCGGGCACGGCGCTCGGCGAGGGCAGCAGGAGCCTTTTGTTCCCGGCGAGCGCAGCCCGAGGCTCCGCCGCCCCGCGCCCGGGCTCGGCTCCCCGGTGCCTCTGGCCGCCGCCCCCGCCGCGTCCCCGCCCCCGGGCCGCCCCCTCCTGGCCCCGGTGCCCGCTCGGCCCCGGCCCCGGCTCTTTGTCTGCGGCTCCCCGCCCGCTCCTGACAGCGCGCACCGGGGAGGGGACGAGGGGAAGGGGCCGCGCCCCCGCCCGCAGCCCCGCCCGGCTCCAGGTGCGCTGAGCCCGGCCCCGCCGGCCCCCGGCCGCTCCTCACCTCCGCCCGCCCCTGCTCGCCTTCCCCGGGAGCGCTGCTCCAGCTCCTCGCCCTCCTCCTGAGCCCCGCGGATGCCGAGGTGCCACGGAACGGTCCAGCCCCGGTAACTCAGTCTCAGCGACTGCAGGGAACTGCTTTCCAACCCAAACCCAGTGCCAGCACTGATGCTCCTCCATCCTCCTCGCTCCCTAGGCCCTAATCTGTCCCTCTCCATCCCTCTGTGCCGCGGTTCCAGGGCACTGGGACAGGAGAGGGAGCTCTCAGTGCGCCAGCCTGAGCAGAGCTGCAGCCCAAGAGCGGAGCTCACACAAACCGGGAAAAGCAAACCCAAGGCGACAGCAGAGCCGAGGTGACAGAACAAATGCCATCTGCCACTGCATGGAGACATCAAGGAATGATTCCTCTGATCCCTGCCGGAGAAAACCCAGGCGCACCAGCATTCCAGATGTGTTTCAGAGGGGAATTCTTGCCCCAGCAATAAATGAAAAACCCCCAATGTAGGCAGTTTCAATAACGTTTCCCCCCAATACACCTGGCTTACACACATAAATAGTGCTTAGATTTTTATCTTGTGTGAAACTGACAATCAGTTTGATATCTTCTCTTAAGAATAAAGTCACTAACTCAGTAGTTTTTGATAAATTCAGATTATCTTTAATAATGGCTAACACTGTGAGATGTGGCTACATTTCCCTACTTAAATCTATCCTAAACCAGCACTCTCATTCTTGTGGAGAGGCAGAACAAACCTTGAAAAAGAACAAACACTTTTTGGCAAATTAGACTAGATGAGACTCTAGGACAGGGGTCACTTCCCAAGGAAATTATGAACTAGGAACTATAAGAAGGAACTTATTAGAAAGTACATTAAAGTGGAATGGTTTAGGTTTTGGTTGGTTGGTTTTTACTTTTTTTGTTTAAGACAAACTGACCCAGGCAAAGAAAAAATCTGGCAACTCCAAATTGTTTTCCAGTTTCTTGCTATTCTCAGCTACAAACACAGAACCCTGCCTGCCTCGGTGTTTCCCTGTCTGCAGAGCAGCCGTGCTGATCCAGCCTCTCCTCAGGGTGACACTTCAGGGGATGTTGGGATCCTTTGATTAAAGATTAAAGGAGGCAAAATGAAAATGAAGCACCTTTGCTGCTCCTATGGCATGGCAGAGATCAGATATGTTTGGGCTGAAACAGCATCATGCTTTCAAAAATATTAATTCATTAATTACCTCTACACTCAATCCATGGCTTTCTAGAGCAAACCACAAATGGTTCATTACAGACTTGTACATGAGGTCTATGGGGAATGTACCAAAAAACCCACAAAATGCCACTAAACACCCATCCTGTCAACCACAGGAAAGAGCTTTGAGAAAGCTCTGGGTAAGGGCTTTGAACAAGCAACAGGATTCAGCAATGGACTGATGAATGTAGCCAAGTGCACTTCTAAAATGGAGCTCCATCATCTTCAGAATAAGACACAAAGGTGTATTTCTACATCTCAAAGAGCACAGATAGAAATCACCCTTATGTGGAGTCCAGCCCTTTTGAGCTGCTCACTCTTTCAAAGGAGAGATTTCTCCTAAACTGAAGATTTTCCATTTGATATTTACTGACTACAAGAAATCTCAGGCAATTACAGCCTCTGAAGACTGCAAACCATCTTCTAATTATGAAGGTATGTGCAATCCTGTAAATAAGGCTGGAATCAACTTGGTCTGAAAAAAAAAAAAAAGAAGGAGGCTTTAGATATAATTTCAAACTATTTACTTACTGAAATGGAATTTTCTGTGCTTGCCAAAATGAATCCCATTCAGTGTGATGCAACAGGTGTTGGAATTCCAGCAGCCGCCTGCAACCCACATCTGGTAATGGTTAGGAGTTAAAAGGAAGTTCTGTAAGAACTGCTCATGTATAAAAACTATTCATCAGTCAGATCTATGGGCCATATTCACCCACCCGCTTGCACTGTGCATAGTTGAGATTTTTATTTCGTTTACAGAAAACGTAATTCTGCTCCTCATAAAGCCTTAGGAATCTCAGGCACTTGAGAGCATGTGGGGGATTGGTGTTGGCCGTGCTGGTGGCAGAAAGGTGAGGGAGGGACAGGGGTTTAGAGAACAAGGTGTGAATACATCTGGATCGGGTCTGCCCGGCTCTAATTCACACCCTCATCACTTGTACAGCCTCATCATCACTCTGCAGGAGAAGGAATCCTCCCCCAGGTCCCAAATACCTCATAAAAAACTGTGCAATGTGAAAATTATCAGACAGGGATTTGTCAAGCAAAAAATAAATAATTCTCAAGTACTGCCACTCTCAGCTGGGAATCATTCTGCTTTTTCTCCCTACCTCAATTGCCAGATTGAAATCAGTAAGACAATTCCCAGGAAACAAGTGGTAGGACCATGCCCATCAATAATTAATAATTAGCCCTTGCTAAGTGCCTCAGCATGAACGGTGTCACTAACTCGTGACACCCAAGGTATAAAAGGTAATTCTCACTTGTTTAAAGATTTTAATACATGTAAGTCGTGCACATAAAAGATACTGTACTAAACCCAAGGCTATTAATCACTGAGTTTTGTGTGAAGTCCTGTACACACTAGATTTCAGTAGAAGGTGGGTGAAAAATAAAAAAGTCATCAATTTCCAGAATAATTTCTCCCCCTTTCCCAATGGAAAAGCATTCATCTCAGTCATTACATACCACCAGACAAGAACAAGGCCTTAGTTAATTTTTACAGCATAATGCTCACAGTAAAAAAACCACACCTATTCTTTAACTCTGAGTTTTGTTCTCCCTTCATGTTTCTGTGACAGCCAAACAGAGATAGCAAAAGTAGAAACTGATTACAGCAAAATAAGTGTCCAGGCTTGGCCACACTCCTGCACCTCACCAGCACTGAAGAAAATGGTTTAACAGAAACTGCATCAGTCCAGACAGAGTGGCAGAAACCAGACTGATCCTGCCCCCCAGGAATACAAACATCTCTAAAAGAAATTATAAGGAAAGGATAATTAAAGAGCACTTTTCAAGTAAGACTGTAATCTAAGTAGCATATAAAAGGTAATGATATTGAGAACATAATTATTAAATAGCTCTGTCAAAAATGGTTATTATTCATCTATAGAGCAGGAGAGTCTGATCTTTCACAGTAACATAACATTTTAATTCTTGACAAAGTGACTGAAATAGTACTAGGAAAGCATTCAAATGGAGGATTTTGAATGATTTAGAAGGAAGAGTGCTGTGCTTATCAGAAGGGACTGTCATTCACACGTTTAGAAAGAAATAATTTCCCAATTCTCTTCTCAGCTCCTACATGACTGGTGAAATACAACTTATGCATAGTCTGACTAAACAGCAGAGCTACCTCCCATATGCAAGAGATATTTAAAAAAGGAATTAAGTTTTTATATCCTGCAGGCCATCTCCAAACATACATTGTCTATATAAACTAAAAAAATTAGTTATATCTGAAGGGGCAACCATAACATCGAAAATGTTAAGATCTTGAATTAGCAGGAAGACTCAGTTTTTGCATATACATCACCACAGAAATATTTTAAAAGAAACTGCATTTTGAGCCCACTCTGCAAACCTCGTGCTTGCTGTACAGACCACACACAAATGCAGCGGAAGAAACAACCTAAAATAATTTCTGTGAGTTGAACAGGAATGCTCACATAATCACTGGAAATGCTCTTAATTGGTGTGGCTCAGTGGTGCATTTCAGAGCTGTTAGATCTTCTGCCGCTCTGGAACTCTTTTCATGTCCTGGCAATCCCAGCCCAGCCAGCAGTTTGTTTATCATATTCAGGATGAATTTCCGGATCTCCAACAAAGTGGTATTTACTCCGAGGCAGGGAAGACTGCAGTAATCCAATAAGTTCTCATTAGCCTAAAATGCAGAAACATCTGCTGGGGTCATGAGCTGCTTCGCTGGCTGTTGATGAGCACAGAGCCAGCTCCGTTTGCAGCTCGTGTGAACAAAGAGTTGGGGGGTTTGGGGTGTGGGGAGGGGACAAACGAACCTCGGTGATTTCCAGAGCTGCAGCTCCACCCCAGAGCTCTCCGGGCAGGAGGGATCCTGCCTTACCTTGACCCCGGAGCCCCCATTGCAGGCAGCACAGGAATTACAGCAAAAAAATGTCTTGACTCAGCCCTCCCGAGCTGGTGGTCAGGGTCTGGCACCGAGAATGTGGCCACAGCTCCCCCAGACACACCGGCACCCGGGCAGGGCAAGCTGCAGGGCAAAGCCAGACTAAAGCTTTGCCAATCTCTTCTTAAACAACCGAGAGTTTTGCAAGAGACAAATACTTCCATTTCTGGGCTCCCCCTTCCTCCCAGGCTCTCACCCACCTGGCTCAATTCACAACTGCTTTCAGTTTTTGGAAGAAGAAAAAAATAATCCCTTTCCCCACAAAAGCACCTTAACACACAGGAATGTTAACAACTGGTCAAGAAGAACTTCTGGCCCAAAAGATGAATAAATAGGTAATAAGTACTGCACAAGTTCAGACAAAACAAAACTAAATCTACGTTGATACAAGTTGCAGCAGAGAGACCGTTATTAATTCCACAGGGGGAAAAAAGACACATAACATGAATAAAAAGAGCCCTTAGTTTGTTTAGGATTCCAACTGATTTAGAGCATGTGACATTGTCAGAAAATAAGTGGAAAATACAAAATAAGTGGTGTCACATCTGTTTAGCTCCTGCTCCAGTGATTCTGCAGTTCTTTGTTGTTGTTGTTTGTACAGTGTTAAATGACAGCAGCCAATTCTGTGGCTATTTCAAGGTGGAGGAGCCTAAAACACTTCTGCAAAGAGCCAAAACAGGTCCACTTAGAGAAAACATCCGTGAAAATCAAGAAGAAAAAGTCTCAGTTCAAACTAATTTAAAACTCTTTCCTGGAGAGGATGAGCTGCTTTAGCTAACACTTGTTGTACCATTTGTACAAAGAATTACACAAGTGCTCAGTTTAAAGAATGGCCAGAATGCTGAAATGAATGCCTCTGATTCTTCTGAAACAATGAGCGCACATCCCCGGGCACAGAATTGTTCTGTAGCAGCAGTTTGGCTTCAGCCCCAGGACTCCCCTTTGCCTCGTGGGAGGACGAGGAGGGCAGCGAGTGCCGCCTGCAGCAGCGGGGCTGAACTACTGCCCCCGCAAGATTTACAGCCTGTAATTGTGCTCACAGCAAGCACCTCCCCGGGGCGAGAACCAGCAGCATTCCAACGCTTTTCCGAGGGAAAATCTGCATTGCTGGCTGTTGCTTAAGTAACGTTTGGGTGTAGGTATACACATTCAATAGTAGAAAGTCACTTGACTGAAAAGGATGGGTTTAATTTAAAAGTATTTCTTAAAATAAAAATACTTTTTCAGAGCAGAAGTGAGGTGTACCATTAAGGAATCCTAGGAAAGACATTCTGATATGCCTGTGCAGAGACATTATTATCAAGACACTGCAATACTGATTTCAATTTCATCCCTCCCCTCTCATATGAAAGTGAAGATGACCCTTCCCAGCTTCCAGTCTCAGAATTGACTCGCCGATCATAAAAAGGTTAAAGGTGTGAGGACACACAGCCCAGCAATAATCCAAACCAGTTTGATCATATTGGAGCCTTTCTACCCACATCTCCATCCACCAATACTAACCAGCCCACACATTCACAGCCAAGCTGACTTTGCTGGGCAAAGTTCCCCATCCAGTGGCCAAATTCATGGATGCAGCTCCTGCTCCTGCCCCAGAGCTTGATCCAGCACCTATTGCTGATGTGCTGGGTTGAACTGCCAGGTGCAGAACACGTGAGGAAAAAGAAATAGCAGATGGATATCCTGAAATAACACTGGTTCAGAGAGAAGCTGCCGCTATAAAAAATTACTATATGCTGTATTGTATTGTATGCAAGGAGGGCCTGAACAGTTTGTTTTATGGGTGTGGCACATCTACTGAACCACTTACTTAATTTACTCCTAATTTTAAATAAAAGGAGACGAGAATCTAGTTACACCTTTAGTAGTGCCAGGAAGAAAGTCTGAACAGCACCTGAAGGAGTGCAAGGATAATATTCCAGGTATCTTAGAGTAGGCCAAAAAGCCTTATAGACACAGCTTAAGCTAGAAATGTGAAAAACCATCACAGAACGAGGTTCCACAGGTTAAAAAATGCAGGTTATAGCACATCTTCCAGAAAAAAATGCATTCCATGTAAGAAAAGGAAAGGATGTTGAAGAAACATTGTCAAGATGTGGCTTGTACATTCCTAGCACAGCACATGCACTCAGTAATCAGGTTTGGGGCTTCTTTCCCCATTCCCAATCCTTTGGCCTCAGCACTTGGGGTGCTCATGGCTGACCACTGGGACCCCTTGGTGTGTACAGGTGCACCACTGGGCTGTGCACTATTAGCCCTAAGCAAGCCCAGATGGAAACAAAAGCTGCTGTAGGAGATCAGTGAACATATTCAAACTTGAAGGCTACTGCTAGAGCAGTAGAAAATAGTCTTTATTATTAAAAAGAATAAAATCCTTAGAGGAGTCAGGTTTATACAAAAGCATTTATCATTTCAATAATTTATTTACAAGGCAATTAGGCAACCAGTTACCAAAACTTCTCAATTGTTAAAAGTGACCAGGCTCCTTCCAAACAAGTGCTTTGTACCCACCCAGAAATATGGGACAAACCAGAGTTCCTGCAGAAGCTGTTCAGTGAGCAACCAATGTACAGCTCAGGCTGTAGATTACCACCCAGGTCAGATCTGGCAGGAATAGCACTTTTCATCATTTACCTTTCAGAAAGGGATGGAAAACCTGTCACAGAAATCCCCATTAAAAGCGAGCGGCGATGTCTCCCTGTGGGACAGCAGAACAACTCTCCAATTCCTGCATCAGTGAGCAGCCCTGCTGCTGGCTTCACTGAAAAACTGGGCAAGTTGTATGTCCACACAAGAAGTAAAAGGATAAAAAGTCTGCTGGCTTTGAGTTAATACCTACTCAGTAGTAAAACAATACAGAAACTCAGTTGAAATACCAGCGTTTCACAACATCTACTCCGTGATTCTCTTCACACACGTATTGGTTATGCAGAGAAACTTCTCTACAGGCTTCAAACGACAGGTTCTGCACATCTGTGATGCTCCTGGAACACATGAAGCTAAATCAGTGACTCTGAAGGACAATAACTCTGCTTTGGCCCAAAGACTACATGCCTGGACGTCTGCATCTTTCTCCTACTTTGGCCCCTCCAGAAGAACACAAATGTAAAATGTGAATTTTCCTCTCAAAAGCAAGAACTGGGAGGAGAGATGGGGCAGTTTGCAGGGGAGGGGAGAGGAGATGAGTGGCTTAATAGTCTATTCATCTTCAAAGATTTTAACTCTAATCTCTTCTGGAGCAATGAAGGAAGGGAAGGACATTAGTCATGCTTTATCTCTTCCTCATCCTCCCAGCGATGCTTTGTATTTATTGTCACCATCGTTGAGAAAACCCTTCTCTGTGCTCCTACTGCCTTCTCAAGGATGACACATTTAAAGGGTTGTTATTTAAGACAGTTTACAGCTCATTTTTCTGTCTTCTTCTCCACTCCCACACACCTGAAGTTACCAAGTCTATTCTTGCTCAGTGGAATTCTCAGCTGAGGTGTCAGAGAATGGCACACTGAAGTGGCTCACCGGGAGTACAAACCCAATCCCAAACATCCTACTGTGACTGTAGGCAGGGCAGGGACAGAAATACATGACTGCTACAAAGAGAATTACCCTTAGTGCTGCCAAACCCTCAGTTAAACCTCCTCTGGATATATTCTAGCAAGATTTTCCTCCGAGTATTTAGTCAACAAATCTTTCCACCCAATTGTTGTGATTACCTTTGAAGCCCTTTACTCAGTTGCTCGGACACTTCTTTAAATTCTTTCAGTGCACCAAATGCTTTTGCACCATCCTCTGAGTGGTTTGGCATAACTTCTGCCAGAAGCTCCTGTGTGATCATTAATTGCTTTCCCAGTTCATCTGGAAGATGAGAAGTTACAGATATTATTAAAAATGAGAGTGGCACCAGTTAATATAAGATATTAACAGCTGGAGTAACCCAGAGACAGGTGAGCTAGACAAAAAAAATATTGTTCAGCTTTCACAAAAACACCATGAAACCGTGAAAGCCAAATTATTTTTCACTATTGTGACTAGCCAGCAGCTATTAAAATTGTTCATCAAGCTCTCATTTAGGGTATGTCTAAGATTTTAAAGAGAAATGTAAGAAGAAAACCAAGTTTTAGACACTCAAAATTCCCTGGCCAGTTTAATGTATTGCTGTTGGCATGTACTCTGTCCATGAAATTTATTCAATCACTTCTTTCAATATTCACAAACAAAAAATGGACCTATTCCTTTCTAGTCTTCTTACAAGAATTTTAAGTTCTTCAATAAATGTTTTCCATTTGTCTTAAAGTGCAAGATTACTGTAAATGATTTAAGAATCTTGTTTTTTGCAGACCAGCAGTTAAAAAAAATGTATCTTTTTGTCCAGACTTCAATACAAAATGCATGTACTCCAGTTCTGCAAGAAACATGAGAAAGTCTGCCCAGGTGACTCTGTCCCTCAAACACAAAAACAAGAAAGACCACAGCATTCCTACAACTTGTTTACACAGTAGGAAAAAGAAAGGGGGAGAAATGCCATGAATACAGTTAAAATATATAGAAACCTGTTAAAGAAGATGTCTATGAAGACTGAGGTAACTTTAAAAGTTAATTTCTTCTCTGCTGTGAGATAAAAATCTGTGTAGTTAAGTGGTTAAACAGAGATAAGAATTATACACAGCACAGCATGTGATTATTACTGTACCCAGTGTCCACACAGGCTCTAAGAGCACAAAAAGTTCCTCCAGTGGCCATAGACAGATGTAGCAGTGACATTGTAAGAAGCTTTTTTAGCACAAACCCACTGTACCTGAAAGCAAATTTGATAAATCAAATTTTCATACCAAGGTAGGTTTGCTTGTCTCCTTCTATGTGAATGTTCTTTATGGGTAATTCGTGTCTTGTAGCATCCAGGGAAGCTGCAAAGTTTTTGTATTGTTCCTTAAACTGTTCACAGACAGCAACAAGGGGAGACAGCACTTCTATCTGAAAGAGACACACACTGAACAGCACTTCTCCAAAAGCACATCTTCTGTCATTACACACCTGGCTCACTACAAAAAATCCTTTATGATAAAACCAAATGCCACTCTGAAATGCTTATTGCCAGAGGAATTCAAGAATTCTGTGGTACAATAATCCTATCAAACTGTTTATTATGTTTTCCTCTATGTCCTCAGTACCAGTTCCCTTGTTTCTGTAGCTCAGAGATATTGGCAACATAGCCAGCAAAGGGTTTTGTATCAGATCCTTTGACTGGAATTAACAAGTGTACTCTCCAAAAGTCTTGTTCAATTTTTGCAATGTGTATTTGTTAAAAAGCAAAGAGATTCAGTTTTGAAAATTAATTATTCAAACATTAATTATTCATTAGAAACCAGTCTTCTTACATTTAGGCCAGAACTACTTGTGGCTAACACATACAAACAAACAACAGAAGATGTTCACTTCTCTCTAAGAGGTGGCATCTCAGCTCTAACCATAGCTGGAGTTGCCCAAGTGTGGGATGTTCATGTGGGTTTGGGCACTTCCACCTCCTGTGCAACACCCAGACCCTGCCCTGGCAGCCACTGCAATCTCTGTCCTTGCCCAAGAGCTCCAGCTTCTCCTTCCTGCCTGTCCATGAGAGGCAACTCAACAGTGACAAAGGCACCTGCTCAGGTGCTGCAGGCCTCAGCAGGGAGGAGATATTTGTTTTCTTTGAGATGCATAAAATTGTACCCCTGCAGGCCACAGACGCAGAGAAATCTCCCCTACACAAATGAGTTTGTGTGACTGTCAGAGAAACATTAATCCTACTAAACCTTACCTGTTTGTCTAACGTTTTGTTGAGCTTCTGCTCTCTCTCCTCGAGCAGAATTTCACGTTTCAGCTCCCAGAGCTTCTCCTGTTGTCTCTGCTTTTCTTCACACAACATTAGTAAGTTTGTTTCTGCTTTTTCCTCCATATTGGCAATATTTTCTTCTGTCTATTACATCCCCCAAAAAAATCACAATTAAAGCAAAGCTACAGCTGAGCAATTAACATATTCTGAATAAAGAAATGCAAGCCTCAGACCACACTAAAGAGTTTGAATTAATGAACAGGAGACCTCACACACCGAGCACATAAAATCAGAGTTCAAGACCCTTTCAAGACTCTTGCCCCACCCCGGCTTCTTTTTGCAAAGGAAAACACACACAGCACTGAGGGAACAAAGTCACTGCCACAACCTTCAACTCCAGACAGACTCACAGCTCTCCCAAAACTTCTGCATCCCTCTAATTCCTAAGAGCCAGCACTAGATTAATAAACTGGCACTGAATCCACTCTAAGAGTTTCCATAGCAAGTTCTACTGTTTTATAAATGATAAACATATACAGACACAAAAATCTAACTTTTACAGGTCAGGAAACATTTAAGAAATTAAACAATTCCTCAATATCAAGTTCTATCTGAAACATCAAATACTTGACCAACTCTCACCTTTACGCTTAGGAAAGTGATAAGTAGTGTCTCAGATTCCAGCTCTGCCATCAGATCCTGAGAATCAGTTTCCTTCAGAAAAGAAGAGTCTACATCAAGTTTGGTATTTAAACAATTGCTTTTTCAGTGGTCAAATTAATTACCAATAGTACAATTCGAGCCTGGAATCGTCAAAGCCAACAGGCAGCTCAATAAGACAAGTTTGTTTTTTGAACACTCATGTTAATTGAATACATCTCTTTGTTTCACCACCTTTTATAATACTTCCAGCAGATTTTCATAATTCTGGTAGAGAATTTGAAGTTTCAGTGCTACACTGAATGAAATCCTCAAATAAGGCACTTTATATTATATTGAATATTGAATCAATGTTAGTTCTCAGAACAAAAATGCCAGTAAATACTTTAAAATAATGTGATATAATTAAAGAGCATAGGCAAGAATGCAAAAAGAATCCACCTGAGGAGATGCAATAATAGGAACAGGTTCTTGACCACAAAAAATGGAAGGAAAGCTCTGGTGAGTGTCCAGATATCTGAGCAACACACCAAACACTGCCAGCAGTAGAAATGACTTCTGCAAGGAGGCTTTAGATCCTCCCAGGACCTCAGCTGGAATTCAGATTAAAAATAAAGAGAAAATCTTCATTTCAAAATAAACATCCTTACCAATGTAACCAGTGAGACTCACCTCATCAGCCACTCTGCTTACTTTCTTTGTCTCTGAATCTTCTTCTGAAGCAGATTCTGAGAAAGAACTCTTGTTGGGGTCACTTTTATCTATATTACAAAAACAAAGTTAGTGTGCTCTTCTGTCGAGGTCTGTAGGGTGGATCAACAGACCACCAGGTTCTTTAAGGGCACAGATAATTTCAAAATTAATGTGTGCACCAGTAAAAAAGATCTGTGCTGTTTCTAGCTCTGATATACTCATGAGCAGATATGGATCAAATGAGCATTTAGCTTTAAGTGATAAACAAATGTGATCCACTTTTCAGAAGGGCTGGCACACACATGTTATAGGAACAAAGACTCAAGAGTAGTTTATTCCTCAATTTTTGACTTTAAACAAAAACAGAGCACCCAAAAGATACTACAAATCAAGAGGTTAATTTAAACTCCAAAAGTCTTAGTACCTCTGCTTAAAATCCTTTTGTGAATATACAAGAATACAACAATTTCTTATCCCCAAGTTTCAGCACATACATTAAAAATAAAAAAAACCTAACAAATAAACAGAAATTGCATATGAAGGGAACTTTACCATTAATAGCAGAAATATCAAGGTCTGGTAGCTTCATTTTTTCTTCATCTAATAAAGTGGACTGCAAGTCACCCTGCTCAAAACCACTCTGATTTAATGTGCTGTAGTCAACACCTGTAGAAAGAAGCTGTTATCAGACTAAAAGAATTAGAACTAGAAGAATTAGGTTGAGCACAAGTTCACAATTCCAGGTGAATTCCAGAGGCCCAGGGAAGCTGATCTGGTCACATCCCTGCCCTCACACCCCACTATGACCTGAGAAATGCTCCTGAGGCCTCAGCCTCGATGAACTGCACCTGCACAAGGTTCCTCTTGAGCTCATCATAAACATTCTCTTGCCAGGAATATCTAATGAGAACCTGTTTTCTAATAAACAGCCTTAACTTATTTTTCTTGAACCTCCAAAGAAATTTACCAACTGGAATTGCAGCCAGAATGGAAAATTATTATGATTAAAGCCCACTCTCTAACGACCCCATAAAGTGAGACCCTTTGGGGCCTCAATTCACAGAAAAAAAGGGAGTAATTTGTCTCAATAACTGGATATCTGTGGAAACAACCAAGGACTGTCAGTGATACCAGACAGGAATCATTGGTAATAAGAAGAGAAATGAAAATGAACAGTTTTGCAGACAGAGATTTTCAGTCACTCACATTTCGTTTAACAGAAAGATCAAATTTTAAAAAGCAGAGTAATGGCAATGATACAGGAAAAGAAAAGAACCACTCAAAACCTTGTACAGAAGGCAGGAAAGACCCAATCACTCAATTCCAGAACCAGGACCTGATTTGTCTTAGTCCCAAATCAAGTTTCTTAACTTCCTTTGCATACAAATAATAGCTGCCAGTGATGTAGGTAATACAAAATATCAATATCGTAGAGTTGTTAAGAGTTTCATAGGCTGGAAATACAAAAGAATAGCTTTTAAACACTGGTAACACCTACCGGGAAAAGTTTCATCTTTCTGCGAGGGAACCGATCTTGCTTTAGTCTTACTTTTAGAAGATGGCAGAGAAGTATTTGACGAAGAGGAACTTGATGAAGCATCCTGAAAATAAAGAAATAGCTAAGACAAAACATAAACAGTCATATCTTGCCTTCGACTTAAATGCTGACAATAAACAACAAAATCGCAGGGCACTTTAATGCTTTGCAAGTCACCCGAGCACAGTCCCAAGCTCCCACCAAGTAACACATCACGACTCCCTCATAACACCAGCAGAACCCGCACACCTTTTCTGCCTTTCTCTGAGCGACGCCTGAGCTCGGCAGTTTGGGCACCTTCTTGCTGTCCTTCTTCTCGAACTGCAGGTAGCGGGACTGCACGATTCTTCCTCCTGAGAGAGGGGCAAGGAGAGCTCAGCCGGGGGCCGAGGGAGCTCAGCCGGGCCCACCGCGGGGCCTCCCCCCTCAGCCGGGCCGGGCTCCTGCCCCAGCCAGCGCGGGTCCGCCCTCACCCCACGCTACCTTTCCGCTTAGCTTTAGGCGTTTGTCCGCCCGCCACCGCGTCGCTGCCCTCCGAGGACATGGTGCCGAGGCAGCGGCGGGCGGGCGAGGGGCCGGGCGGGGGTCGCTGCCCTCAGCCCCGAGCCGCCCGAACCGCCCCAGCCGCCATCGCGTTTGAATCACCGCGCATGCGCGCGCCGAGGCGGGAGCGGTGCGCGGGTGGCAGCGCGCCCCCTGGCGGCGCGGAGGACTGAAACGAGCCCGGGTCCCGGGGCTCAGCCTTGGGGTCTGCGCTGCCTTTTTAATAAAGAGATAAAGGAGGGTCTGGCAACTCCTGCAGCACGGCTGGCCCTAAAAGTGCTCCTTGCCTCAGGCCTTTGGTGGGAGGTAGCTTCAGCTGGTGAAGTCTATTCTGGGCTCCTCAGTTCAAGAAAGAGAAGGAGCTACTGGAGAGATTCTAGATCACAAAGATGATGAGGAGTTTGGAGCATCTCTGTGATGAGGAGAGACTGTGGGAGCTGGTCCTGGTTAGTCCAGAGAAGAGAGGGCTGAGAGAGGATCCCATCAATCCTATATAAATATA